CAAATAAAGAAAACAAAAACGAAGGCCCCAAGCAAACCCCATCCTGGTAACGAGTTACACATGCACGAGATGGGAGTTTGCCCGGCATATGCATGTAATAGATGTGATGGCGCGGATCAAGCGGAAACCAAGCAAGCATGCATGCCTGTCAGCAGCCGAAAATGGACATGTAGCTACATAGTAGTTGTACCAGCAGCGGGCAACATCAACGCCATGCTCGCTTGTGTAGCCATAGACATACATATCCTTTTTCGCTCTGTGCTGGAGAATAATGTAGAAAGATGAATAAAAAACCGGTAGAAAATAATACAGAATACGCATTATACTCACTAGTCTTTCAGCGGCTTCCCATGTTCTGGTTATCCCGTTTGGATCGGTGTACGTCCGCTTCACGAGTCTGATCCAGCGTGCCTCGGACGGATCCTAACAGCAAGTATGTTTGTTAGTTATCAAGAGCAGCAATCATTACGTAGAGATTAAGGTGATATCATCGTATTGGCGAAATTATATAGTTAGTTTGTCTGTGCGGTAATGAGAATCGGCTTAGGCTGGTGGCTCTGTGCCATAAAGAGCCATAGTTGGCCGCTACTTGAGTGGTTATATTGGCTAGTTACTTACCAAGGGCCCAGTGGAGAGCATTGCAGGCCTCTTGAAAGCCGTCGATTGGCCTGACATGGCTCAATTGGTTATATTTAATGGTTTCTGTGAGAGTGGCGGGTTTGCCTGTCAAGAGCCCGGGTAAACGAGTTGGGCCGCAGTTTTGGACGGTTGGTTAGGTAGTTAGTTATCTTACTACTATTAGTTAACTAACGACTGCTTGCTGCTTCCAAGGTTCTATCATGTGACATGAGATGGCTTCGGGAGGAGCCGTGGACAAGGGACAGAGAGAGGACTTATTTGGAGCTGCTTTTGAACAGGAAATATCTTTGGATTTTGTTCTTATCTGGGGTCTATCTGGCCATGGTGGGATCTCTGATCTGCCGGACATACATAGTTATGCAAGTGCATCTTTAACGCCCCATCTTTCCAGTACGGAGCAATATTGGAACAGAAAAACGAGGAAAAAGAAAACATCCGAGAATCATGAGAAACAGGTGGGACATGAGGGGTCAATTCGTTGTTCGTCAATTCGTCTTGGAGAGGAGAAGACAGACTCTTGGAGAGATGGCAAGAGTGTAGAGCTGTACAAGACTAGAGAGAGGGGATGTCCATCTTCTCGACCTCCGCGATGCACTTATCCCATTCAGACCAGTTTCTCATGACGACCTTTGCTCCCTGCTCGAGCAGGAGCTTGGCCATCTCCTCCTGCTTCTCGGTGGTGGGGTAGCTGCCAACGTACGCGACGACAGGGATGCCGGCTCGAACAGCACTGAGGCAACCACTCTTGCTGTCCTCAACGGCGACACACTCAGTAGCGCTCTTTCCGATGACCTTGAGCGAGTGGAGGTAAATGGCTGGATCGGGCTTGGTAGTGGGCTTCTCGAGAGAAGTGGCAGCGGAGAAGATGTGGTCTTCGGGGAAGAACTGGGACTGGTCGACCTTCTGGATAGAGGCCTTGACGCGTCGAAGGGCAGAGGAAGAGACGACGGCCATGCCGTACTTCTTCTCGGCGAACATCTTGACAAGGACCTCGGTGACGCCAACGCAGGGCTGAGCCTTAGCCTCGAGTTTAGCAATGACGCGGTTCTCCTCCTCCTTGACGTAGGACTCGAGCTCCTCGGGGGTAAGAGAGATGTTGAACTTGGTCTGGATGGAGACCATCATGCCGCGGAAGTTTTGGCCGACGAACTCGCCGATAAGCTGCTCGCCGGTGTAGCGTTTCTCAATGCCATGTTTCTCTAGGATCTCGTTGGCAATGTCGGCACAGGCCTCGAAGGCAAGCTCCTCGGACAGGACGAGGGTGTTGTCACAGTCAAAGAGGATGTGGGTGATCTGCATATCAGGTCAGCCTTCTGTTATTGTCTGTTTGTTCCTCTATAGAGCAGATGAATCGCCTACCTTGGGCATGATGACGGTTAACGCGGGGGAAGTAGACTCTAGATGGTAGGTAGAGGAATGTAGACTGATGCTGGCTGATGGCTAATGGCTGTTACTGGTGGTTGTAAAAAGAGAGAGAGAGAGAGAGAGAGAGAGAAGTAGAGTGAGAAGAAGAGGAAGAGGAAGAAGTAGGAGAAGTCGACGGCACGTTTCTGGCTGTCCTGCTCGGTGGGGCCGGCGGGCAGGTGGGATGAAGCAGAGGGAGAGGCAGGGGAAGTACGGCAGCAGCAGCAGCAGCAGCAGCAGGGCCTGGTCAGTTAGACAGCAAGGAGGCAGCGCAGAGAAGTGGACGCCTTCAGGTCACTTGCTCTTCTTCCTAGATGTTGAGGATGGCCTTGGAGATGTAGGCCGCTGAGGGTTCCAAGGTCGTCCGTGGCATGCCAGCAGAGACCAATATCAAGGAGCCATCACCGGCCACAGCTCAGAAAGACATGATGGACACCTACCTCGGGAATCAGTACCAGCAGGCTGTAGGAGCCTAAGCTGCGTACCACGGTTGTCTCGGGACTCAGCCGTGAGGCCTGAGATGCCCCTGGCCGGCTTTCTTTCTTGACTGATACTGTACCCTCTGGGGGGCCGTCTCTGTCACTGCATTAACTATGTCGAGACCAGAACAGCCGCCGGCCATTGCAGAAATAGCAGGAAGATGCATTCCGAATCTATTGTTAGCATAGTAGTATATACTAGTTCATCAACAAGAGTTCCCGATCAGTTAATGACAGAGACCATTTTTTTTGGCTTGGTCATGGAGGGTTGGACACAGATTCAGAACAGGTTCAGGGTCGGGCCACTAGTTAGACAAAACCAGGCCATGGGCAAAGCTAGACGTGATATTCTCGATCTCATGCCTGTTCCTGTTCCTGATTCTGCATAATAGCCTAGCTAGTCCCATTTGCAACGATTGATGCGCAGATAGCCATATATTATTGATCGGGATAGGAGAAGTCCTTTCTCTCTCCGGGTGGTACCCTTTGCTTGTGGCACAGCGAGTTGCTGTCTTATCTGCAGCGTATGGCATAGCAGCCGTGCTCAACTCGCACATCAGACTGTCAATGCATCGGAATCACCAACCCTCCCCCATCTCCATCGCCCATCAACGTCATTCACCTGCAGCTAAAAGATGAACGGTGGAGTCGTGGGCCGCCATGCGGGAAATTATTATATCACGTGATCATCTCAACGCCCATTTTTGGCCACAAGGAGAAACGAAGACAATCAACGTTCAACGACGACGTCACCGTCTCATTATTAGTATTATTATTATTATTATTATTATTATATACATTATGATCATTTGACGAGTTCTGTTTTGGATAGACGGGTGCATTGCCCCGGTATATACACAATATTCTTACCTATTTTTATTAGTTATTTTGTATAATTACTGCCCGCCATGCGGGAACCAATATCCCTAGCAGATATCCAATTCCCAGCTGCATCCCAGAATATATCCCATCTGCTCTCGGACCTCCGGAGATCGGCTCTGTCAATCACAAATAGACTAAAGTCTATGGAGACAGACTCTATCTTTGTCCAAGAGATATCAGACTACTACGGTTTACCCCTCGTTGCCAATGAGAGATGTGGGAGCTGGTATATCCCGCCAGACAAGAAGGTCGGCAGCTCCTATTTCAAAAGCACAGATGGCCACATGGGACAGTGGGACTTTAGCCTGAGACGGCTGAACATGCAGGTTTTGGATATTTTGAAGAAATATGGAGGGTGAGTTAAGTTTATCCTGGATGAGACTTTTTGAGCTAACTAACCTCCAGTTGCTAGTTGTGTGATAGTTGATTCGACGAGAAGGGGTAAAAGTATGACAATTCTCCAAAAAATCAAAAATAGTACATTATGAATTATGCTAAACTATATACAACTCAGCTATGCCGGATGCCATGGGGAAAACAATACCAATCTGGTGTGCAGTCATGAATAGAACGCTGTTTCCTGAAAAGCCAGCCTACCATGCAGTTCAGTTTGCACCAGCATACCTTGGAGAATCAGAAGAGTCACAAATTGAAAACAAAATAGACGGGTTCATAGAATCATTTAAAGTAAGTACAAGCCCTTGATAACACAATTTTCATATTTCATACAATTTAACTTGGGCTACTAGGCATTAAACTTGGATATGGGAAAACTAAAAGAAAGGCTGGGAAAACCTATCCGCCTGGTCTGGGCTAGCAGAGACTTTTTCTCAGACAATGATGAGCATGACGATTCACATTTACTCGTGCTCTGCTCGGCGTCAAGATGCGTTCGTGGTGCCGAGATGTCAGAGGGCGGATATATCCAGGGTGCAGGTGACGACAGTGAGGGATGGTCCCACGGCCTCACACCTCCCGTATTTTGGAAACATAAAGACCAACTCATGGCAGCTGGAGAATCGGAGCTTCCTGGCCTTATTCAAGAGCTCGTTGAAAAGGAATGTAAGCTGCCGTCGACTAATGGGCGGTATCTGATAAAGCCCACCAGGAACATATATATCGGCAAACGCAGTGGTGTCGGTGATGATGATGCGTCTTCTTTTGATCTGGTCATTGATTGTGCTGGAAGCGTTGATTCCAGTCAGTCGGGATCACCGCAATCAACGAAATGGCTGAATCTGGGCTGTCCCTCAGGGAAGTTGGGAAGTCGGCAGCTTAGAAAGGTTCTTGCTGGTGCTGAAAGCTTTGTGTCCCGCCATTTAACTGGCGATCCCTCGCTTTCCCTCCTCATAATGTGTTCGGATGGTAAAGATATTTCTGTCGGAACCGCATTGATGGTTCTTTGCTCCCTCTTCGATGATCAAGGTATCGCCCCCGGAAACAACCTGGCGCGTCCAACTAATATCTAACCGGTTCATAGGAGCTTATTGTGGACCCAGAGACAAGTTTGCAATAAACAAGCAATTTATTCGGCAACGTCTGGCATGGATAGTCATGTCAAAGGAGGACATTAATCCATCAAGGTCGACCCTTCAATCAATCAATTCTTATCTTATAGATAAGGAATAAAGGAAGGCACTTGGAGCCTAGTTTAAGCAGCCCCACCTATCTATGGGCTAAAGAAGCAGGAAGAGAGTGCCTTTAAGAAAGAATGCGCAGAGGTAAGGATAATAAAAATGCACCAATCGAATCAAGGATGCAGTTTCAGTTTGTCCCAAGGAGAATGTCCCCACATGCCGTCCTCCTTTAAGTCAAGAGTATTCATTTCTTCTTCCGTAAGGCTGAAGTCGAATACGTTCGTGTTGGACGTGATGTGGTCCAGTTTCGTGCTACTCAGCAAGGGCACCCAGCCCTTCTGGAGCGAGTACCGTATCAGGACCTGGTGTGGGGTTTTGTTGTATTTCACTGCCAGGAATATCAGGTCGAAGTCAAGAATCATCGCATTTCCGGTCAGCGAACAGTACGCTTCAATCACTACGCCATGATGCCGTAAGTGTCGAACGAGCTCCTTCTGCTGATTCCAGGGATTCAGCTACGTATATGAATGTCAGCTATTTCGTGGCTCCTTTAGAAGGTAGATGCGGAATTGAACTTACCTCAAGCTGAATTACATGTGGTGGCCCTATTTCCGAATACGAACCGATCTGGAGGAAAGGGAGAAGGGTATAGTCACAAACGCCGATACGTCTCGTCTTCCCCTTTTTGAGCACATGCTCCAGGGTAAACCACATATCACATCTCTTCTGGACGTTATGGGAGAGGGACTGTATCAAGAGGAGGTCGACGTACCCGCCCATGCCGCCAATCTTGTTCACACTCTCTATTATTTTGCTGTAGGTCTCACCTGCGGAGGACCATTGCATCGAGACCTTGATCGCCAGAAAGAACTCCTGCCGAGGAATGCCAGACTTACGCACTGCCTCGCCGATTTCTGCTTCGTTGCCGGATTCTTGGGAAGTGTTGATATGGCGGTATCCGCAGGAAATTGCGTGAGAGCAGAGAATTTCACAATTGAACGCAGGGATCCTACAGACACTTAACCCAGGCCGGGGTATTTGCACCGTCGAGGTTTGCACTGGGACAGTGGTGTCCATGAACACCCCCTGTACCATGTTGCTGACCGACATACTGGGGACTTTTTCAGTAACAAGCTAAGTTGCTTCGTTGCTTTGTTGTTTCGTTGCTTTGTTGTTTCGTTGTTTCGTTGCTTCTTTATTGCTTGGTGGTTGCTTGGTGGCTGCTTCGTTGTCGCGTGGTTGTTCCTTACTGTTTCGCCGTTGTTTCTTCGTTGCTCTTTAAAAGTGCGAAGAGCCTTACTATATATAAGGCCTTTTGCCTCTCTATTACTCTTGGATTTTGCCATCAGTCCATGGTTCCGTTAACTCGAACGTTGTTATATTTGAGGCCCGGATCAGCTATTTTAAGTATCATCAAGTCTATGATGTTGTTGACTGAGCATGGACCTCAATACTCTCGAGGCTTGGCGTCCTGGATTGGCCGTTGGCTATTGGCTGATGTCGATGACGTTTGTAAGATGACGTTTGTAAGATGACGTTTGTAAACAAAAGTGCCAGACGCAGTACACAGGATGGAGCCAGGCTAGAAGAGGGACTGGCAGGCCTTCTGTTATAAATTAGAATTTGGCAGTTGTGGGTGAATTCCTAGACTGTCCTTGGGCAACTAAGGGCAGTGAGGCTTGAGCTTGTGTTCAATATAAAACGGGCAATAAGAAAGGCCTTGAAACAGCTTGTTCGAATGTGATGATAGTGATGTTGTTCTTCCTAGCTTGAGCCAGGGACTAAAGATACAAAAGACGTAACTAATTACATAATTAGTTCCACCACCTGATACTCGCTGTACCCTAATTACGTAATTAGAATAAATATATATTATTGGTTAAGAAGGCAGAACTTGATTACTAAGTGGTATTCTTTGTATGTTATTTACATTACATAAGCACCCTTTTCCTTATAGACACACTTTTCCCTCTTTTACCCACGGCCTAACTTCTCCCCCTTACGCCTGCTCCCCCTCCTAAATGCTCTAAATACTCTTCCTCCAAGTATGCTCTCCCTAATAGAGGTGAGAGACTTAAGTAAGAGAAGCCCTTAGTGAGAGGGGCCTAGAGAAGAGGGCGGGAGAGAGCAGATAGCTAAACAAAGAGGACAGTTGAATAAAGAGGATAGGTAAAGGAAGAGAGTCTCGTAACGAAGGAGAAAGAGTAGGCTTAAGACTAATTGGCTCCGTGGAATTATCTCTTACTCGGAAGTTTACCTCTATTTAGTCCCGCCGCCGTGGTCATGGACAAGCGCCAGACGCAGCTTCCGCGGACCAACCGCGGCTGCTCTGAGTTACAGAGTAGCTGCAAAACAGCAACAAAGACAACAACACGAAAACGTCAGACAGCGACGCTCTGGTGTGATACTCGAGAGGAGACTCGCAGCAAACTGAAAGCCCTGGTTGCAGGGTAACAATGGAAGATACTCAGCGAAGATGGGTGTCCGTTGCGGCGAGAGGCGGCATGCTTGTGTGGTGGAGGAGCACCCTCCTCAACCGTCGGTTTTGTCTCAGTCTTGTGATATTTGGCTTTCTGGAGCCCGTGGATGTCAGAGCATTAAGCTACTGGTCGAAGAAGATAATGGAGGTTTCCATTGCCAGGCTGACCTAACGCCGCCATCCCGTCCAGCCATATCCCGATCCAACAGCCGCAGCGGTTCGCTTATTTGGGACGCCGCATCCGCATCCGCATCCGGGATACAGGGCCTTGCCTGTGCTCAGGTGGAGCGGCATATCGCACCAAATCGACACTCCGCAGAAATTCAAACAGCAGAAGCCCCAAGACAAACGCACCGGGAAAAACTCATGAGTGGCTGTCGGACAGAGTTCTTCCGGGCGATCCTTGGGCAGTCCAGGTGGATCCTACAAGAATAATCATGACAACAACCTATACACGAAGGCTGGAGCAGCAAATCCTTCGAGAACATGTCGAGCGAGCTAGGGTGCCCTCTGTATATGCTCGAAGGATGGGGGGTCACAGCCATGGCCATGCAGGGATTCAATGGATCTTTCGGCCCGTTTGATAAGTCTTGTTACGCTCTGTTCGTGTCACCTTGCATGGGGCGGATAAGTAGCTCCCGAAAGCGATGCTGGTTTTCAGTACTCCGGTATATGCCTCCATTATTATGTTTTATGCATTCGCTTTTGCGAAGTATATAAAGAAGGGCCCAGGGTCCCAGTTGTTACGACGTTGAAAACTAGATCGCATACCTATGAATTAACTGCATGTTCTATTTCTCGCCCATCATGGTTACCCTCCCTCTCTTGTTAAGCATACTTCCCCTTGCCGCAGTCTTTAGTTCTGCTGCATCACTCCAGGTCCGTGAAAATCATGACTGTGCTTCGATACAGCCTCCTCAGGTCCCCGGAGCTGAAGTCCTGTCTGTGATAGGCGTGCAACGCCGGGTCGAGGTCGCTCCATTCCCGCCTTCGCCATCAAAACTCAACATGACCATCGACATCTGCAGCGTTAATGTTACCCTTTCCCACATGGGAGTCAACGACAAAGTCGTTGTCTCAGTATGGCTGCCTCTACCTGATAAGTGGAATGGACGTTTCCAGGCGACAGGTGGAGGCGGTTGGGCTGCCGGCACATTTGACCTGCTCATGGGTCCAGCTGCCCTCGAAGGATATTCCACTGCTGGAACTGATGCCGGCGTGACCGTTGACGCAGGATCTGCCGATAAATGGGCCCTAAAGGAGGACGGCACTGTCAACTACGACTTGCTGGAGAATTTCGCTAGTCGATCAATTCACGACATGGCCATCGTCGGAAAAGCCGTGACTGAGAGCTATTACAAGAAGCCGGCCAACTATTCTTACTTCTACGGCTGCTCCAATGGCGGTCGACAGGGAATGGTGGAGGCACAGAAATACCCAGATGACTTTGACGGCATTCTTGCCGGTGCTCCAGCCATCTACTGGCCCCGATTTCTCACCTCGACCGAATGGCCACAAGTTGTTATGCAGAGCGAGAAGGTCTTCCCATCCCAGTGTGTCTTTGAGGCTTTCAGAAAAGCCGGCATTGCCGCATGTGACAAGCTGGACGGAGTAGAAGATGGCGTCGTTTCTAACCTCGACGGCTGCGAATTCAATCCCTTCGCCCTTGTTGGCAAGAAGGTAAAGTGTGGAGGAGAGTCAACTACCATCACCCTCGCCCAGGCCTGGGTTGCGAAGAAGATCTATGACGGCCCCAAGTCTACGGCGAAACACGCCTTGTGGGATGTCCTTCCCGTAGGGGCCTATTATGATGGACTCGCCAACAGCACTATTGAGAATGGCGCTCCCAAGATTGCTCCCTTCGTGATCGGTTCGTCCTGGATCAGATCTTTCTTGAAAAAGGACGTGAACTTCGATCTCTCCACCATCACGTACGCCGACATGCCCAAGCTGTTCCAGCAGAGTATCGACGAGTTTGATAAGATCGCCGGTGGAAGCAACCCCGACCTCTCCGCCCTTAAGAAGAGCGGAACGAAACTCCTCACCTGGCACGGCCTAGCAGACCAACTTATTCACCCTCAAGGCTCCGTCAAATACCGCCAGGCGGTCGAACGCCGAATGGGAGGCGGCTCTGAAGTAGACAACTACTACCGTCTATTCTTGGCCCCTGGAGTCACTCACTGCGGCACTCTTGGACTTAACGACGGTGCAGCCCCCATTGATGCGCTGAAAGTTTTGGAGAGATGGGTTGAGAAGGGCGAGGCTCCAGATACGATGCCTGCTATTGCAACCGATGCAAGCGGTGCTACCATTTTCACCCGAAATCTCTGTCGATACCCCTTGGTCCCCCGATACAAAGGAGGCGATAAGAACTCTGCGGACAGCTTTGAATGTGCCAAAGACTTCGGATCCCACCATTAACTGGTAGGTCGCTGGAGCAATTAAGAATAGAATAACGAATGAAAGACTTCTTAGCCTGAATAGAATCGATTTTTTAATTAGTATCTTTTGACCTTCAAATTTCCTGTGCATTCTTCTTTGATATTCTGAGTCAACTAGTTATTTGTCACTGCTATATAACTAAATAACTAACTGACCGGCTGACTTGATAGCTTGCAGTATTTGTCATTCTAGGGGCTGAAAAGCTTCAACTCAAATGATTCCAAAAGCCCCAGCTCAGCCCTGCGGAATCCTTATTTGAAGGCTCGGGACAGAGACTTGAGCTCTTAACTAACCAGGGGCCCCTAGCCTGAGCAATGCTTAACTAGCTTTTTAATACCCTATGGCGTTGTGAGGCGTGATGATCCTTTATTCTGGACCCTCAGCCGTGGTGTTGGCTGTTTCTTAAGGCTACCATATATCATAACCCAGGGCCAATTGGAATGCTCCATGCATCGTTCCAATGCCTTGTCCCAGGGAGGCTCAGCGTCTAAATGATTTATCCGAGTCTGATGGAGCCTTTAGCTCGTTCTCGAAATCTACAATCAGCCGGACCCGCAAAGCATAGGTATCTTCACCGAGCGGTTGATATAAACGACTCACCACTCCATACGAAGTAGTTATAAGTTGCACTAATTACACGTTGAAAGGCCATGAATATATAGCGAGAGGGACACCCAGCACTATCCTTGGTTTTACCTCAACGGCTCCCTTCCCGCAATTGCAAAATGGCGGAAAGTGACCTCTCAGGCAGTCCCCAGGTGGGCTCCAGCGAATCTGACCAGCCCGCCAGGGCCTCAAATGCCTGTGAGCCCTGCAGACGAAGGAAGAAAAAATGTGACAGGATATCGCCGACATGTAGCTCATGTAGAAAGTACGCTACGCCCCTTAATTGCTCTCCTCCTGGTTTGGATAACACTGACTATCGACAGACATCTCCTCCAATGCTCATACCCCAGAGTCAGCCGAATTTCACAGCTTAAAGTCCTACGTGAACGACTTCAGGCTCTAGAGAATGTCATGGCAACAAAGGATAGCGCTGCATTTACCCAGCCACAGGATATGCAAATTGCTGCGTCCCCGATTACCGCTTCATCCATCCAGGAAATTGGACTTCCCCAAATATACCCCGTCGAATCTCAATGGTATATGCCTGAACTGCTACGATTCTGTAAGATTAGTGTCTCGTTTCCTTTGTTCTGTCGAAACAGTTTAGCTCATTTTACGTATAGATAGCGAATCCATTGCACTGCAGTCGCAAGGAGATGGGTCATTCACACAGCTTGACACCCTGAGAAACATATGGATGACAACATCTCTGACCGACGAATGTATGTTTCATGCTACACTATACGCCGCATCTGCATATCTCGATCTACTTCGAGGGCAAAGCGGCAATGTTATTACTCTATATCACCAGACGGAGACCCTTAGGCTGCTAAGTAGCCAACTTGCAGCACCTAACCTACAGGTCACCGACGCTTTAATTGCAGTAACAATGGCTCTATCTCAAACCGAGGTAGGTGATACCCCTCCTTAACTATTATTGACTCTAAGGGCAAACAGATTTGCTCATTCTCAATGCATAGGCCCTCTCTGGCAATGTATGCGTGTCTGGGGTACATAGAGCTGGATTACATCACCTGGTAAAGATCAAGGGCGGCCCCGAAAACTTGGGGATGGATGGTCTACTTGCTAAGTTGATATATGTGTAAGAACTCTGGTCATTAACTAAGGGATATATATCCATTCCCATGACACTAACTCCTGTAGGGGTGATGCCATGGACTGTCTTCTCTATGGCACTGAACAGTCGTTCCAATGGGCCACAAATCCTACGCCTCCACCAATGGCCCTCCTATCCAACGTTTTATCATGGGAGACTTCTGCACATAAAACGTCGCCCACCTGTCAAAGTTCGGCTAATATCCTAGGACTTGTACAGCAGTCAATGTTGTTGATTGATAATCTACCCAGTGCATCCGTGGAAAATGTTATAGCTCCCTCCTTCATTCAAAAATTCATCCATCTCCATGATGAATTTTCATCTCTATGCAGAGACAATACCATCCATTCTTCCTCTGACTCATCTGCGGAAGTTTATATAAATGAATGCTGTCGTCAGACTGCATTGCTGCATTGGCGCCTAGTCAACGATAAAGGTATCTTTTCTACTGAAGACACAATACTAGCTGATGGTAAAGATCTTAAGGTGGCTATGGGGAAGATGGACATCCCGACATGGTCGAAGGTTGCTCCAAGGGTATTTATTTGGGCCGGAGTGACTGGAGCAGCCGCATCCAAAGAGTGTGCAGAGCGTGCATGGTTTGCCGCCCGTCTAGGCCCAGTGGTAATGGCTCAAGGAAAAGACGGGATTCCCACTCTTAAGCAAGGAATGGCTCTTTACCATTGGCTGAAGGCACCAGTGGTAGGATATAATTAAAGCTTAGATTGAAATGACTGAGTGAGCTTAACGAGATATCTTAGACGTCATGGATGATCAGTATCCGATTTCACCAAATCAGCTTTTACCAAGATGGAATCTAGCCAATATATGTACACAAGGTCAAGGGCGATAAAGGCAAATGATCCGTTAGCAGGTAGTTCAAGCATCCCACATAACCTCACTTAATCTAAGTAATGAATCGTCAAGCCCACGCTTAGCTGCCATGAACTCTTCTCTCGCCTCAGGCCCCTGAGGACCTTTGAGTGCAGCAGAGTAACATAGCTCAATCAGCACCCTCAACTCATCAAATGTAAACGGCTCCCCGTTGCCTTCCGTCAAGACTTGGCTGCCCATCTCCTTAAACATATCTCTTTCTTCCTTTGCATTTCGTAATGTCTTGCCAGGCCCTTCAAGGAACCAGTCCAAGAACTTGGCACTTTGCGGGAGTGCAACTACTTCGGGCATAGAAGCAGCAACATCTTTGTCCAACGATAGGCTGCTCTTGGATGACACTGGGGAAGGGGAAACAACGATAATATTCTTCAGATTCTGTTGAAGCACAAGAACATCAAGCTGAAGTCTCAAAGCTCCGTAACTGTTCATTGCACCAATAAAACGAGTGCTGGATACCAGTGCACGGTCTATGAGTCTTGAAAGGCAAGATGTGATATATCGGCATTCATTTGGTCCCAGATAGTTGGACATTCTAGCACCAAACGAAATAAGGTCGTTGTTTAATTCAAGCACGATAGGCGAAGCAGATGTTGGTTCGACCGTTAATATATAAGACCAGTTGTTTTCGGTTGAGGAATTCCGGTTCGGCTCCTGTGGCTGTCCATCATTTTTGCCTTTCAGTGCTCGGGATATCATGTATATTGATCCACATCGAATATCGAGGTGTAAGGTGAAAATGGCCGTAAAGGCTAGGTTCTGAATTGATGTAACAGCACCATCGAAACCCACAACAGACTCTTTAGTCATAGGAAGACGAAGAGGGCGTTCGAGATCACCACGTTTCGGTCTCATCGCCGCCTCTAGAGTCCAACGTCGAGTAGGCGCTACCTGTCTTGATTGGATATGGCTCGAATCTGTTTGATGGGGAGTGATGTGACGCAGTTTGGACAGGTTACTCGATAGCCAGTTCTAAATTAAAGGGTCAGATGATATCACAGCCTGCAAAGCCAAGGGAAGAGTTTACCATGCTATTATAGAGCAGTGACAATGATCCAACTATCTTTGGGTCAGCTACCATGTCATAACCTTTCAGTGAGGTTTCATTGGTTGCAGAGAGAAGAAGCTCTATTTCCTACATAGAATTAGCGTCTGACCTCAAAAACTGATTTATTTGAATACCAACCCTGTTGATTAATGACTGTTTCTCACTAGCAGAGCATTCCCATAGCTTTCGTCCAACTTCGCGGATATCCTGGGACTCTGCAAATGCCGCTGAAGTCTTTAGGGCTACACCACCAGGATGGTTAGGTGATATCCGAGTCATAAGGGCTGTACGGGCTTCATTAGAACCTATCGCAGATACAATGGGAGAGTTGACACACTTACCCTTATACCAGCCGCAGCACTTTTCGTAGTAAGTAATGATTTGATCAATTATCAATTGCGTGAAAGCTTGATCGTGGGGTATACTATCCAACATCCGGCTAAACGTTTTTATTAAATTCATGAAGTTTATGGTTCCCTAAAAGCGTCAAAAAGAGTCAGGTCACAACCTAGTCAATGAAACCCATAGGAGACTACAGTTCCTTACTCTGAAAATTGGCCGAGGAGAGTGCAAGGCCCATTGAGGATCCTCAGTGTAAGCATCCACAGAAATGAAGTTGATGGCACAGAGCTCGCTGACAGCTTCATCAAGCTGAGGTTGGAAAACATTTATCAAGAACTCATCGAGGAAAGATGTAAGTGCGCCAACCGCGATGTCAGAGCTGGGGGGTACTATCTCCTTGAGCCGGTGGATAAACGAAAGGGCAGGAGGTAGGAGCAAGCTGATATTAAAGACACTTGGTTCAATGAGTAGCTTATGGCCGGTCCCTGAATTTTGTTGGTTAGAGCTATTGTTATCGCTGGTCGAAAACATCTGGCGTGATTTAGGCACAAGTCCAGGAACCGAGGCTCTCAGGATCTCGGCCAGCTCATCTTGCTCTGCTTTCAAATCAGAAGCGGCCTGGTCGACCTCGGACATTTTGAAGAGTTTCTAGAAACAGAATTAGTGGTTTGGTAGGAGTTCGAGACAAAACCCAGAGGTTTTATACCTTTGTTTTATCGCGCTTGACAGAAGAATGGGCGTAGCCGTTATCCGTTGCTCTGGTAGTGGCTCTAAAAGACTCAGCTCCGTCTGTGGAAAGATAGTCATGAAGTAGAGATCGCATCTGTGTAGACATTAGTATTATCACTGCCGATTTGATGTATGGCGTACATACCTCGCTTTGATACAGTTTCCATAGCTCTTGGAAGCTGCTGGTCAAGTGAACCTCATTCGCAAGCTTGTCTCGTTTGACAATGCCACTGATAACTTCATAAAGGAGGCGATGACCTTCCGCAATTGTCTCAAACTTGGCATATAAATTCCACAGAAATTCTGACAACAGATGCCTTCGCTCTGACGCGGAATCGGGGACTGCTCCTGGCCCAGCCTTTCGAGTATCCTTTTGAAAATTAGGATGGCTGTTATTTACCTCAGCGCCCGTTTTATCGACAACACTGTACAGCTCGACAGGAAGACGTTGCTCTATCCTATCAACAACAACGTCCAGGTTCCCCATTTTATGAAGAGCTTCCAATAAAAGATGGATGTAATAAAACGTATCTGTCTCTGGGTTGCGAGATATATCTTCCACAAAGTGTGTAGTTGCATCCAAAGATGACAGATATTGATAAAAGGGCTTCTCCCAAGAAGTTCCACTGGCACTAGCTGAAGCACCATCTCTGTCGGACGAGGGCTTCCACCGGTCACAGCAGTATGGGGACTTCAGATACAAGTGGTCATGCAGTTCCTCGACAAGGATATCAGTCAAAGAAGTTTCTTGGTTGCTGAAGTAGGTCCGAAGGTCTCCTAGGGAACCTATACCCGCAAGCTCGGGACGTTGAAGGAGCGCAGTCCCTTCTTTGAGGATATCAACTGCTGCAATAAATTTCTTATCCGACATCCGGGCTTCTAGCTTCTCTGGGAGGGATTGAGCATGTTCAATCAGCTCGAAAAGCTGTAGGATTTCATCGTAGGACTGCGATGCCATTGCCTGTTCCTTCAACTCCGGCTTCATAGTAAGCAAACTGGCTTTAGCTTCCAAAAGGGCGGCCTTGAGAGTTCTGATTTGGTGCTGTGAGCTTTGTAGACTACCCTGGATGTTATGGTACGTCCCGAGGAGATTGTTGAACCCGTGGTGATGCTCTATAAGGATAGTCAACACGGCTGCCCTTTGCAAGCGCATCAAGAAGATGTATCACCCACCATTGACCACAGACCGCAACGCATGCTGGATCCGCTGATGTATTTGTAAAAACTCCGGCTCTCTATCTGCGCGTCCAAGAGTGCTTGTGTCCATCAATTGTAGGCCAACTTGAACGGGTATGCACTCGCTGTCCGCCATAAAGTCCCATTCGTCTTCGATAGCTTGAACAACACCTAATAGCAAGTTCAAACAAGTAATTAGCAAGACATGACTCTTCCTTTGGATGCCGCCAAATGCTTCATGGGGAACATACCATCGATCTCCTCCCCTCCTTTGATTTCTCGGCCGCTACCTCCGCTTCGTCCGCTGCGACTGGCACTCCTCTGCCTCGCATTCTCTTCCCGTCTCTGTCTTTCGCTTCCTCGAAATCGGCCTTCATCTTTACGACCCCCCCATGAGGGACCATCGTCTATATCGCGACCCCGAGACCGCACGGATATCTGGGGAGACAGCTGTTCCATCGAGTCGCCGGGCGAGGGCGATTCAAGATAGGTCCCTCCTCCATACCCTCCTCCGCGCCCCTCGCGCCCCCGGCCATATCCCGCAGGCGAATTCATTGACCCATTATTCGATGCGCCGTAATCGTAGTCGTAGTTGTAGTCGTAGTCTCGTCTGGGGTTGCGTGAAGTCGTGAAATAATCGTTTCTTGGTTTTGGGTTGCCTGAGTTCATGGTGATGCAAGGGGCAAGGAGTAGGAGCTTTGAAAAGCCCCAACCATGCTAGCGGCTCTGGTTACAGGTTAGTTGGTTACAGGTTACAATGAGAATTGAAGGCAACGCACACAATAATAAGAGATATAAATATGGGAATATATATAAAAAATAATGGTAAATATCAAATATATAAGTGAGAATCCAAGTAGAATTATGACATAGACATCATGCGTGAAGGTTTTGGTTAACATTTATGCGTACCATGGAACTTGGTTACCTAGAGTGATCAAAAGTGGCTGATAGCACATAATATACATGCATGATAAAAAGTAATATAACAAGTAAGATATCCATCATTATATCGTATCAATAGGTTGCAGCACCTCCAGGGTCCGAATGCAGCCCTCGCAAGTGCAAAAGAGGCTCTCTGAAGGCCCGGAGAGGGACCAGTCGAAGAGGCTATGAGGGCAATAAATACGTAGGCTGGAGTTTCTAATAGTCCCTCAAGACAGCGACAAGTTCATCCAGCCTTGCAACTTCGCCTAGGAGTAAGGTCTCCTTTGCTTCCCATTCCTGTAGTGCAGCCATATCAGAGGCAGAGAGATACCGTTCCATGTTACGCTTCACATCAGATCGTTCAGCTTTTTCAATCAGTGCTTTTAGTTTGCTTCGTTCATAGGCCAGGCGTTGCAGACATCTGGCCATACTCTTGTAGGTATCTTCGATAAGCATCATGACCACTCGGTCAGCATCGTAGAACCATAGGTATATTGTTCGGGAGGGCTGCCGTTGGGCATCTCGGGGAACTTCTTGCAGGTCGATAAACCCGCCAGATTGCAGCCGTGCCAGTATCTGCCGTAGATCCTTGGAGGGCATCAAGCTTATTTCTTGCAACCGTTTCTCGTCTAATCTCCCCTTATCCGCTAGAACACGGAGGACTCGTACAGCAACACTGCCGTACCGAGATTCAACGAGCCGTTCGATTTCAAGATGCCGTAGCTTTCGAGCAAGATGTCTGAACTCCACAGCCCATGTGATGATCCCTGAGTCCATCCTCCGCGTAGAAAAATGGTAGGGCTCTGAAGCGAGTAGAGAAAGATGCTGTGCGACTTGGAAAACACGGCTTTGAGCTTTCGATTGCGGATTCCCTTCACCGTCCTCTTCATCAAAATCGTCTTCATCCTCATCCTCATCATCCTCGCCATGGCCATTTTCCAGACCATTCTGCTTTGGTTTTGTCGCAGATATACCGGCAACACTGCTGAGGAGATCCAGGTTGGGGTCGAGATCATCAACTATGGTATGTAAAGGAATCGGAACAGAGTAATGTTGCCCTTCTTCTCCTTCTAGAACAGGCTCATCCTGCTGGCGGCATTTCCGAGTCTTGAGTTCAATCCGAGATAGTAGTATTTCATATACTTGTGAAGTGACATGCGAGGTTGCCTGGTCAGCCAACTTAATCAGCCTTTGATTGCGGAGAGCAACATTAAATTGCTCATAATTGATCCGGATAGTCATATTACTCTGTCAATCGCAGTTAGCTTAAGGATTTCAGGGTGATAGAAGGCTAAGCTGCCACTTACGTCCAATGTTATATCACTATCACCATCATCCTCATCTTCTGATATGTCATAGTTGTCCGTTTCGACTGCTTCATCAAGCTTCGGCCGCTTGCGCGGGCCTTCCGAAGCCCCATTTGCGGCTCGCCTTTTTATGCCTCTGGTGATATTTCGGGGAATTAAGCCATATGAAATGGTCCCATCCATCCATTCCTGAAGCATGACCTCCGCCTTTTCCTCAATTTTTTCTTCAAGCTTTTTCCCTTTTAGCCCTTCCGTTTCACCACTGGCCTTGACCGCTCTCCTAGCTGATTCCCGTAGATCAGATGGTGATTGAAAATGGACATCCTTCACTCGCATGATGTAACCATAAGCAGCAAGCTCGCGAAGTGTAGAGCCGAGCCGAGAATTTCCCTCTCCATTTGTATTATCAAAGGCCCCAGCGTCTCCGTTCACACCATCCTCCATACCATTCTCCATAGTTTCCTCATCTCCATTTTCAAGCGTGTGGTCACCGTTTACACCGTTGGGTTCATGGGTTCCATTGCGCAGAGGAGCCGGCCGAAGCTCCGGCAGGCTCTCGAGATGGCTTATTTTGACATGTCCCAGGGAAAGAATCGTCGACACCACTTTTGCAGCGTAATCCCCCAGCCGCTCCCTTGTCAATTGCAAGATACTTCCAGACCGCACCAGCAAGTATGCAGCCCGCCAATTCGCCTGGTAGTATGAGACGCCGTCCTCGAAACCGGTATAGTGGAAGATAAGCTGCTGCTGGATGAGGACAGCTAAGCCGTGTTTAACTTGTCGAGGCGAAAGATGTGTGTTGTGGACTATTCTCATGAGCGGTTGCCGTCCATGGTGGACAAGGTAGGAGAATATCAACTATACATAGATATATCAGTCACACGCACATTGTTTGCCCCATGCTGTCAAGACTAGGCGCATACAGAGTATAATTCTCCAAAATTATCTGCAATCAGAAGCGTACATAGCTCCGCGGCATACTAAAATGATCGTCAGCCTCCGCTTCCCTTCGTCTATTGAGTCCCAAAGAGCTCACTTACCTGCGACATCTTTTTTTTTGTGTATGACTATGACTTCTAGAGAGATGCCACTCTAGAAGCTCTCAAAGGTCACGAATGAGCAGTCATCAGCATTCCACGCATAACACACTCCAAGCGCACCCTCGCTTCTTCGTCTGCTGCGCTTTTCTTCCCGTTTTCTGGTCTCCTTCGTCGTCTCTTCTTCTTTCTTCGTCTTTTTCTGCCTTTTTTCTTCTTGCAACAAGCGGGACCATCTTCACGTGACACGAAAAGCACCACCACGTGACTTTTAAGAGTGTCGTCAAGTTGACCAATCAGAATGTCCGCATTTAGCCCATTTCGTGAGTGACCGGAAGCTTTTTTTGGCCCAGAAAGGCGAACGTCGACTTCTTCACTCCTTCTGGTATATCAAGACCACGACAGCCAGACCCGAACAACCATCCCTCCGGCTTCAGCCCGCCCGTTTCTCCCTCTCCCGGCTGTACTCACCGTCGACACAGAAGGCAATGATGCTTCCGCGAGCTTCCCTTGGCCGGACCGCCGCGCGCGTCTGGCGCAATGGCTGCTATCAACAGACCACCGTACGAGGCATGGCATCGCAGGCCGGCCTCGAATTTGAGACTAGTGAGAGTGCTGGTGTGAAGCTTGCCAGCAGGGAGATCTCTGGACCAACTACCACCCTTACCGTGGTTGCTAAGGCCGGTTCCAGATACGAGCCATTGCCCGGCTACTCTGAGGCATTGGAGAAATTTGCATTCAAGGTGAGCCCGGAACCTCCAGAAAAGGGTCGATTGCCTAGCAATCAGAAGGGCTATCGTGTTTATTTTTTATTGCGGAGGCATTGGCTGATGGATTGGATCTCAATTGCAGTCTACTCTCAAGCGTTCGGCCCTACGAATCACCCGTGAGAACGAGCTTCTCGGAGGCCAACTTTCCTGCTACCGATCAAGAGAGAACCTCGTTCTCTCTGCCCGCTTCCTCAACAACGATCTGCCATACTATGCTGAACTTTTGGGTGAAGTTGTCTCGCAGACCAAGTATTGCAGTAAGAAAGCTCAATTGCTCGCCTTGTTTCTGTTTTCGTTTCAGAGAGGATAACTAAACATCGATTGATATATCAGCCCACGAACTCAACGAGCTTATTTTCGACCTCATCAAAGCCTCACAGAACAAAATTGCTGCGTCTCCATCGACTCAGGCTCTTGATGCTGCGCATACCCTTGCTTTCCATCAAGGACTCGGAAACCCACTCACCATCCCGGCTGCTACTCCATTGAAGAAGTATGTGTCTGCTGAGGGTGTTGCCTCCTTTGCACAGGGTGTCTACACCAAGCCATCTATCGCCGTTGTCTCCAGCGGTTCCAACTCTGCTGAGCTATCCAAATGGATCGGCCAGTTCTTCAATGAGCTTCCTACCTCCACTGCTTCCGGTGCTCTCGCCCCAGCTGCCCCCCAGCAGACCAAGTACTTTGGAGGAGAGCAACGAATCTCCAGCCAGGCCGGAAATGCCATTGTCATTGCTTTCCCTGGCTCCAGCGCCTACGGCGCCTCTGGATACAAGCCAGAGCTCGCCGTTCTCGCCACCCTCCTGGGTGGAGAGTCCAGCATAAAATGGTCTACTGGATCTTCCGTCCTCGCAAAGGCTGCTGAAGGTTTCCCTGGCGTCCACGTCTCTACCAACCAGTCCGCCTACAGTGACGCTGGATTGTTCCATATCACTATCTCTGGCCAGGCTGCCGACCGTGTCTCTCAGGCCGCCAAGGCTATTGTTGATGCCTTGAACAACGTTGCTGCAGGAAACGTTGCTGCCGAGGATGTCAAGAAGGCCATCGCCCTTGCCAGATTCCGTGTGCTTGATGCCGGATCCAGCCTTACCGCCGGAAGCGAGGCTACTGGCTCCGCTCTCATCCACGGTGGCAAGCCATTCAGCATTGCTGTTAACGCCCAGGAAATTGAGAAGGTCACCGACGCCCAGGTCAAGGCTGTAAGTTTGCCATTCTGACAATCAAGTGATATCTTTCTTGTAGATACTCAACTAACAATGACTTACCAGGCTGCCAAATCCCTCCTAAGCAACAAGGCCTCCGTTGCTACCGTTGGAGAACTCTTCTCTCTCCCATATGCTGCTGACCTCGGTCTCACTGTGTAAATATACCCCCCAAGGAACAGGTACCTCTCAACCACAACCGCTGAACTCCTAAAAACCACACCTACACACACAATAGACTCAGCGTAACTTTTTTGATGTTACTATACTAGTTGAAATAGTTGAAGAGAAAGAAAAAAGGGAGAGTTAGATGGTGGCATTTTTCCTTCTTTCCTGTGCTCTCTTCCCTATCCTCCATCTTCTCCGTCACTCTCCATTTTGTTCTCTTTTGTTTGTCCTCTAGTAAATGTACTTATATAAAGAAGAATCCGAGTGTTTTTCATCCTTACTCTTCCTCGTAGTGTACTCATCAACTATGGTATTTTGTTGCTATGCACGACTGAGATTATAAAGCTTGAACTGCTTTGAAATAGCATATATTCCCCAGATTAATAAATAGATGGGCAAGAAATGACATACACGAAGGAAGTAATGACACATTTTTTTTCTACCCACATTCGTATCAACGACAGTAACTTCGTGGACGTTTTCTTATGAAAGCCAGAAACCTGAGAAAGAAAAGGGGGCAAAGAACACATTACTTCTATAGCTAATACAACATGCTGGAAGATATATGGCGAAAATGGAAACGAGATGAATAAAGAAGGAAAGAAGAACATATTTTTGCAGGTCAAGACCGTGATAAGCTGTTGGCAGCTTAATGTTTGGCAGTGACCTTTTCTCCAGTTAGTTTCTCGACAGCTTCCTTGGCCCTATTAGAGTCGACGAATTAGTAAAATGAATATGAGACAGACAAGTAATGGAAATTAAAGATGAACGTACATGTCTCCAAGAGCAACCATGCAGACGGTCTGCCAGATACCAAGACCAATACGAGGAGTGACACCCCTGTAAAGACCCTTGATGCCGTTCTGGCTATAAATGTAGCTGAAGGCCTTGCCGACAGTCAAATTCTTTGGACGGTTTGGGTCAACGGTCTTGCTCTGCATCTCGACACGGATGACCTCAATAGGCTGGTTCCAGGCCGACAAGCCACCACCGATGGTACTGGCAGCGATCTTTTCAAAACTGTTGAGCTTCTGGCCGTCCTCCTTTCCAGAGACCTTTCTAATACCGATTTCAGCAAGACGGGAGAGACCGAATCGAGAACCCCAGTTGGTAGTCTGTCGAATGGCGACGGCGTTGACACCCTTGTTGATTCCGCGGATACCTTCACGGCGGTAGATGTCCATGAAAGTAGCGAAGGTGCTTGGGGGCTTGACGCCTGCAGCAGCCATCTTGGACTTGGTGATTTCAACAGTCTTCATGCATGTGCAGAAACCCATGGTAGCGTAGGCCTGGGCGACACCACCGGCCATACCACCGCTGATTCCACCGATGAAGTCATTGGCGCCGAAAGTTTTGACATAGTACTCTGCTTCGGAAGCCACGAAGAGAAGGACGGCACCTTTGGTAGAGGCCTCGATCCAGGCCCAGGGAATGAGACCTTGGTAGTCTATAGAAAACGTTGGTATTTATACAAGTGAGTGTATGAAAGAGAAGCAATTCTTACATCCAAGGATGCCACCGCGACCCCAGATACGACCCATGGCACCGGCAAAGGTATCTGACCGGTTAGCAGCCATTGTAGTCTTGATGACTTCCAACGGCTGGCCGAGGGTTGTAACCCTATTTCAATTAATCGTTCGTCAGCACTGTACAGCCATTGACACACGTAAGGCGAGCATATATAGGCGGGGGAGCGTACTCGAACAGGTTCAGGCCAGCGCCAACTAAAATTCTCAATCCATCAGCATCAAATCACAGTGCGTAAAGGGAAAAATAATAATAATAATCTTCACTCCACTCTTCTCTTCTCGCGCGGACTGCACTTACGTAGCAAATTGCTAAACTTGACGGGCTTCTTCTCGATCTTATTCTGGCCTGAGGCGGACATCTTGGATACTGAGATGCTGAAAGGGGCCCTGACCAAGGGAAAAAAGATTGATGTTTATCGGGGCGGAGGATGACTTATTTAAATTATCTGAGGGTGGCTAGCTGGAGCTGACGGAGTATACCCGTTGGGACTTTGACTGGGTATGTATATATTGCGGCGAAGGAATCTAGAAGCACCAAGGCTGTTGCTGTTGCTGCTGTTCCTGCAGGTGGTCTCCGAATATACAACGACTCAAGGGCACCTATTAAGTATCAACAACAGCGCGTTAGTCGAGGCCAGCCTATTAACCGTGCTATCTGACGGCGTCTTTCACAAGCCACCGAAGACAATGAAGCGCCTTTCTACTGCGGCGGTATATGCTCCGTTGCGGACAGGGGCCAGTGGACCGCAACGAAGCACAAGCACCGCCCATGGAACGAAGAGCTCCGGCAAGAGTTAAGTAAGGGGAAAAGCTTACCGTGAAGTTTTTTTCTTCGTCCTGCTTCTCTGGAGACAGTGATTGACAGTAAAGAGATGAGCGAGTTGAAAGCGAGATGAAGCAGAAAAATGAAGACGACGAAGCCGGGAAGGGGGAAAAAGCAGCTGAATACTCGGATCTTTTTCTCTCTTTTCTTCTTCCTCCTGGAAAGGGACCGCGGGCGGTTTTGGCCTGTGATGAGCTTATGTAAGCGGTGAGAGCCTGCGTTTTAGCGGGCCTGGTTGGGGTGTTTTAGCGTTAGGCGCTCAACAAATGCGCTTGCAGAGCCGCGATAAACGGAGCATTTCTTCCTCAACAGCTCGCCTAAAGGGAGCAGTCTACTTGTATCTACTTATATCGGATACGACTATGAGTACTGCTGAAATACGAGGTAGAGGACGAAAGTTGGTTGGTGTTCTATGCGAGACGCTGCTCATCCTTAGGAGGCTATCGATTGATATAGACTCCATTCTCACCACCACAGCAGGGGAGTGTCAGCTAGGTCCTAGGCAACTAAGGCTTGCTGCTATGCATGCAATTACTAAGTATAATTATCGAGAGACTCAGACTTTGCCAAAGTTCCCTTGCCGATAGTCCGTCGTAGGCCTGGGTTAGCGTGGGGAGTTGGCCGCGTTGATCACCCTGAGTGGAGCATATAACTACCGCTGATTTTATATATCAAGTACTTCATGAGGAAAGCCCTTGTAGCACTTCTGTGTAATTGTGATTAGCTATGACGGATCTATATGCAGCTTCTCTAACAAATTTTGACATCTCTATGCCTCTCTGCATAATATAATAGTGAATATAAGTAGAAATGAAGAAAAACTATAAGATTCCTTGATATCGGATCTTATTAAAGCCATCACCATCACTACTTGGGTTTCCAGTAAAGCAGGCTAGAAATGATGATACCACGAAGCCTAAGCGAAAGTCAACTGAGTTCTGCTGAATTGGAGGCCCATCAAGTAGTAGGCAGCTGTATAGAAGGTAGTACTTTGACTTGCTTGGCTTCGCCAGACAGCTGGCTACTGGTCCTAGACACCACGTAGAGGTGCAAGTCTTGCCTAGGTAAAACAGAACGCCCAAACGCTCAAACGCCCAAACGCCATAACAAAGGAAAACATGGAGAAGTGCCGCATTACACGTCATGCGGCGGACCAGAGCACCACCAGAGCCTTCACCATCCTAGACAGGAGAGGAGTCAGGAAGAGCGCTGACAGACTCAGGTGCAGGGTCACCAGAAAGCGTCAACTGTTCGACTCCCTGCTGGGCGCCGGACGTATCGACGCCCTCCTCAAGGATCGAAATCCTTTCCTCTTTCCAGAGGATTTGCAACCTGTCGAGCTCAATCCCCCTGCGGAGACGAGCAGCCTCCGCCGCCTTCTCTTCCTGCGAAAGGCCTCGAAGCCGCTGCCTCTCGGCCTCCTTCCTCCTCTCCTCCTCCTCCGTCGACCTGGAGGCGCCGTCAAGCAACCCCCCGCCACGGCCCCCGCGTCCCCCACCCCTTCCTCTCCCTCCTCCTCTGCCTCCTCTCCCCCCTCTCCCTCTCCTCCCTCCTCTCCCTCTCCCTCCTCCATGGCCATGGCCATGCCCAGTGGCATGGTAGTTGTGAATCGTCACGTTCTTCGCGTGGAAAGTCTACGCAAGTCGTATATTAGCCACGTTTGTCCGGTCATAGTTGGTATGCCCAAGACTAAGGGAGGGGGGACGCAACGCTTACCATCCTTGTATAAGCGAAGAGTAAAAATCCCTGTATACGCGAAGAGTAGATAGTAATGAGTTAGTCGAAGCTGTTTGCATGCATTTAAAGCGTGTATAAGGGTACTTACTCGAATATGAAATGTTCGGACGAGGAAAGAAAAAAAGGAGAAAGAGAGAGAAAGAGAGGGAAGAAAGGAAAATAAACAAAACGAGTGAGAGCTGGGCAGAGTGGCTGGGAGGGGGCTAGGGCTGGCACTAACCCCTTTGGGCCTGTCCTGTACCCTCGAGCTAGATATAACATGTCCTGCTTACTTTATGAACGAGCTGCTGTGTGCTCCATATCCTTTGTGCCGCTTAGTGATTATATCAACTAGACAAGTGCAATTGTAATCAAAGATATAATCCTATGTTCTATTCTCAGGGGTATCTAAGAGAGTTATCAAGCAGTAAAGCTGAAATAAAGAGGCAGTAAATTAGATCTGCTATGATTTAATGAACATGCTCCTAGTATAGCCTCCATATTGTTTGTTTCTCCTCCCTTCTTAATCTAAAATACTTAGACTATACGAAGGGTGGAATTTTGGCATGACATATAGGTTCTTAGTATTTTGTTGGGTATATTCAGGCGATCAACTGGTCGCCCTTGATATTTATATAAATATCTAGGGTAAAGTGATAATATGCGCGTCGTTTATTTTTTATGCCAAACGATGGAATAAGGTTTAGTTATGGTAAATCACGTGATGTTACTAGCGCCGATCCGGCTTCTGCCGAATGACGTCGGTTTTCTCTGGCGACTTGCCTTCGAACTCCAACTCCCACTATATCATTATATCTCTCATATGCACTCCTGTAAACACGACACAACAGGTTAAACGAGCCCTCAGTCTAGTAAGTGCTCAGCTAGTACTCACAAATCTTCATGTCGTCTCCCCCCCGATACCCTAGTTGTCATTTAAACATAAACACTAACTAAACATGCCTTGCTGTCCACCGTTGACCATCTTTACAGTATCATACTCCTGGTACCGCTGATAATCAGCACGTATTGCACTACCGCAACTATGGACAGCGTTTGCAAATTTATCAGCGAGTGGATTTCAGCAAGTTTTCCCTCGACCGAAGAGACCCGAGAAGCGGAGGCTTTTAGAAGCGCCTTGCGAATTGAGCATGTCATCGATGGCTTTGAAGATGACGTTCGGGACCTGTATCCAGATCGTACAGACATCATCACTGTGATCAAAAAATCTAGGCAGGCTTTATACGATGAACATGGTGGAGTACCACCATCTTCCGTCCTCTGTCTCCCTCCTACTATCCAGGCCCAGGGGAAAATGACATATGACAGAGTGGTTGAAAGATGGTCAGATTGGACCAGCCTATCCAAGGAGTTCCCCTTTTTGACGGGCTTCCCCTCTATCGAAGAGCAAGCTGACTCCATCGATGACAGCGAAGCGCTCGCCGTAGAGACTGCCCTTGCCATGCAAAAGTGGCATGTGGATAAATATGGGAATGCCTTATGCTAATGATGGTCAGTTTACTTTCGAGTTCAAACTTTGTAATTATACCCTGATACCCTTCGATCTTATCGCTGTTTTATTCGCCGCTTGAAGGCCTTAGGCCACCACTTATGTCTACTTAATGGCCGCGGGTGGCTTTCCTCGAAATTCTCGCCACTCTTGATGTATTTCTTAAAAGTATGAAACGATGGATATATTAAGATGCCGTGTCTTGATACCTCTTCTTCACTTTCTTTTTGTTCTCGTGTCCAGCCAGCTATCCTGCTCACTGCTGAGCCTGAAAGTGTTGCATCAAACTATACGCACCTGCCGCAATAGGACAGAAAACGTGACTGAGCGTGATGGAAAGGGGCACTAATCTGGTGGTTCGAAACTGACGCGAGTTTTTTTCTTCTCAAGACTTTCTTCTCAAGACTTTCTTCTCAAGACTCTTTCCTCAGGATTTTCTTAAGTCTTTCTTCTCAAGACTCTTTTCTCAAGACTCTTTCTCAAGACTTTCTCAAGACTTTCTTCCCCAGACTCTTCTCAATTTTCTTCTCAAATATCACGTTCCTCGGAACCAGGTTTCTAGATCACTGAATCAAAGATGGCTCCAGGATATAGCAAGTTCGCTTCTCTAAGCCGTAGCTTGCAGCATGCTTATGCTAATGTTCGCTCCTACTTAGACGCGATATCCAGATCATGGAGCAATGGTTGAAATCAGAGCAGGTGAAGAGCTACATTAATGCATGCCATCAAAGACAGGAGAATCATGCATTCGAAAAGGCAAGGTGTAAGGAGTACTTTGCTGAACTATTCTATCAAGATGCTCAAAAGGGGCTTATGGAATGCCCCCCGGCCTTGTGGGTTCTGGCGATCTTCTGTCGATTTCTGTTCGCCTCACTGCGGAAACCGGCCCTTGACCTTATGGAAAGTGGCGGTCACTGGAACTGGCCCTACTGGCTCGGAGAACTTTTTTGCTGCGGTGGCATGGTGCTGCAACTGGCCATTGCCAAAAACCCGCAACTGAGTACCACTAAAGCCCGTGTCACTATATTGGTAAGTACCTTTGTCTCTCACACGATGGACGCTATTGCAGCATGCTACCTTGGATCCAGGGAAAACGACGCCTTTCTTAACGGCGTAGCTTACGTCTCAAGGATTGGTTGTGAGTTTTTCATTATGATCATAGGCTGCTGGGCTACGCTACATACCATACAGCCACAGGAAGTGGACCAAGCCGGATGCTTGGAGACGTGGGATCAACTTCCCGCTGAATACAAATATTGGGCCGAAAGCTCTCTCAGTAACTACCGCGACGAGCAAAATTGCCAAGGAACCCTCCGACGCAGCAGCAGACAACGCGTACAAGCTAAGGCGAGAGCTTCTCCAGTTGACAATACCAAACCCGTATAACAGATGTTAGTGGAATATACTCGTGTTATATCGAGGACCACTGATCCTTTGGTTGCATGAAATGTGCCATCGGTTACGTGGGTGCGATGACAAAACGGGTTGAACATATTGGACAATTGGGGCTTCGGACCTGGTTCTATGGGGCTTCGGACCTAATATATTTCAGACTTATAGTTTGACCAAGCCTTCGGGTTTGGAGTCATCGCGTCTATATGTGTTCAGCCCACCCCCCTTTTTTTGTTGGCTGATGGTCAGTGGCGACCATCTGGTATCACGCTCAGAGTCTCTGCGCCTTGTTGCGTACAAGATGAAGGTGTGTGTGGGTTCGAATCCTACAGCTGACGTTTGCCGCACCTATACGTTACTATTCCTGATTTCAAACCCTGCTTCTCCTCCCCAGTAGGCCCAAATACTTTTTTTTTTATCCTAGAACCAAATTTCCCTTTCGCTAATCCTTCGCCAGAAATTTCAATGGAGCTTTCTAGTTGAAAAACTTGACCGAGGTCTCCTTTAGCAGGTAACCGGAATTTTACGCCGGTATACCTTCCAGCACCAATTAGCTCCCGCGACTCTATCGAGCAATATATCATGTCTTAGCACCTACTTCGGCGTTGTACGTATGTAGGATGGTGGTGGATAGCTATATAGATACAGTTATTGGTACTTGGTCTTAACCCTTCCGCGATGTGCTCCAAGGCTTGCCATTTCGCTTTGAGAATATCAGAAAAAAAATGATTGGGTATATGCGGTGTCCCAAGAAAAATACATGCAAGTTGATGTCAACTCTGCATGATGCATGGAGTGCTTTACAGCCACCAGCAGATGTCAAATGAGATTAAGTTTGGGTATGCGGGCGGGCCGCTGAACGTGAGGTCCCGGCGCACCATTTGGAACAATATATTTCCCATTCTAATTACGTAATATGACTTTATTTTCCAAACTCAATTGGATGGATGGTCTACGAAAAACCGGAGAGGAATACAGAGACTCGTCTGACTAAAGAGGATATAAAATACAACTTGATAGTTTCATATAGTTACAGACTCGAACGGACAAAGGAAATAAAGAGGAGGTGAACAAAAGAGAAAAGGGAGAAAATGGGTTGTCAGCGCGTCATTCTAGACAGCCATATTCCACGGTCTATAACTTTCGACTTTTGGTTCGCTCAATGATTGTAAGGTATATAATTTACAGCTTTGCGCCAACGAGCTTGGCGTAGCCTTCGGTGCTGAAACTCTTTGGACGCTCGATAGGGGAGCCGAGGGCGCGGTCGATGATGAGCTGAGGAAGGACGCCAAGGGCACGAGAGACACCGAAGAGCACGGTGTAGTAGCTGGCCTCGGTCAGGCCGTAGTACTGGAGGAGAACACCAGAGTGCTGTTCCATGTTAGAATTGTTCAATTTTAGGGAAAATATAGCATTTAAACTTACAGCATCGACGTTGGGGTAGGGGTTCTTGGTCTTTCCGTGTTCGGTCAAGACGCCAGGAGCGATCTTGTAAACCTGGCTGACGAGCTTGAAGAGTGGATCCTCAGGCAAGTGACGGAGGGCGAATTCACGCTGAGACACGTAGCGGGGGTCGGTCTTGCGGAGAACGGCGTGGCCGTATCCGGGGACGACCTGGCCGGCGTTAAGGGTAGACCAGAGGTAGTCCTTGATGGCCTGGTCGCTCAAGTCGTTGCCAATGGCCTTCTGCATCTTGTGAAGCCAGTTCAAAACTTCCTGGTTGGCCCTGTGGACGGATTAGTATAAATGATATGGCTATGGTTACGTTATGAAAGATGACTTACAATCCGTGGAGAGGACCGGCGAGACCGTTAAGACCGGCGGCAAGAGAGAGCATGGGAGAGCTCAAGGCAGATCCAACCAAGTGAGTGGTGTGGGCACTAACGTTACCACCCTCGTGGTCGGAGTGGATGGTAAGGTAAAGGCGCATCAGCTCTACGAAGTCGGCGTTGTCGCCGTAGCCAAGCTGGTTGGCCAAGTTGAAGCCATAATCCTTGTCCTTCTGGACGGGAGCGACCTTTCCGTCCTTGAAGACGTTGCGGTAGATACGGGCAGCAATGGTGGGCAGCTTGGCGATCAAGTCCATGGAGTCCTCGAAGGTGTACTGCCAGTAGTCCTTCTTGTTCATGCCCTTAGCATAGGCCTTGGCAAAGGCAGACTCATGCTCAAGAGCGGTGACAGCGAGAGAGAACTGGGCCATTGGGTGGAGGTCAGATGGGCAGCGGTCGATGAGTTCCTCAATGAACTTGGGGACATCGGAGCGGGCAGCCCACTCGGCAGAGAGGTCGCGAACTTGTTGCTCGGTTGGGACCTCACCGGTCAGCAACAGCCAGAAGAGGCCTATCAGCTTGTTAGACCTCCGTGTTTCAGACACGTTTTCCATCCGTCTGATCTATACACACCTTCTGGCAATGGCTCCTGACCGCCTGGGGCCTTGGGGAGGAGTTTCTGGCACTCAGGAATCTAGTTATCCACAGTTAGTTGAGATATCCTAACACAGCTATTTGTCCATCTAGACAAAAAAAGGAAGAAAAGAAAAACTTACGGTCTTTCCACGGAAGCGGATACCCTCCTCAGAGTCGAGAATAGATCCCTAAAAGCGCAGAGTTAGGCTCTGTTGCCATAATAAACCGGGTCCAGCACCCTCCTTACCTCCCAGACGAGGGACTTGATGCCACGGGCACCGCCATAGACCTGGTCGAGGGTCACCTCACCAAGGACCTTGTGTCCATGCTCCCTGTAGATTGTAAAGGGCCATCATCAGCCATGCTCTCAAGACTTCTCAATGCCTCGATACTGTTCTTCGGGTGTGAACATTACATACTTTCGGAGCTTCTTGACCTGCTCAATCTTCTCTGGTATCTGGGCGGCGAAGGTCTCCTTGAGGGTCTATAGGTAAACAACCACTTGTTAGTAAACTAGACCATCGTGTATGCAAGAATACTCAATTCTGGAATTGGGTACGTACAGGAGCCTTGGAAGAGTACTGTCGGAGAGCATTGCGACCAGCAGCCTGGATAACTGGCTTGGAAGCCATGGAGGTGGATCGGAGAGCAGCGCTCCCTAGTCTGAGTGAAGCGGCCATACCAGCGGCTGATAGAAGATAGTGTACAGGGGAAGAATTAGAAGTACACGGCGAGGGGAAGACTTGTTCGAGGGTTGAGATGAACTTGAAGCTGTGAAGTTGAAGGAAGAGGAAGAGAAGGAGAAGTTTTGCTTTAGTTGTGAGGGTATTGTCGGGACCGAAAAACGTGACCAGCTGGAATTACAAGGGCTGGTCTCGCAGTTCCTGGCCGTCACGTATTGTCACGACGTCTTTTTACTCTCCCGGTATTTTGTTGGGCCCAGCAATCTTTTCATCGCTTTTTTCTTCTCCTTTTTGTGCCGGTGATGCATGGAGTTCGGAAGTAATAAGGGGCAAGGCTGGCTGTCCAGGCTTCAGTTGGCTTGCTTCTCTCAACCATTGAGGGATAGACGGCCTCGGAGGCAGCTGAGAGACAAAGGCTGTAATGATGCAAGTTGCTGCTGTCGTTATAGAACATGGCAGCGCTGTGCCGAGGCTCAGAGATAGAGTTATGCGATATAGATGCAATGCACATATTAATTATGGAGATGGGCTATTATTATTATTATTATAGCTGCAGCGATATTTTATGCTATTTTCATCTCCACGACATCCATGTCCCGTCTGAGGTAAACCTGTCTAGAATGTGAATAATGCACACAGACTGTGGGGAGCGTGTTAAAAATCCAAGGTCTGCATCCCTGGCAGCTCGTCCCCTGTTAGGCCCTTCTCCTTCAGCAGAACTGCTCTTCTCTCTAGATACGCCTTGTAAGGAGCTTTAGGAATTGTCTTCTCCTTGTTCTCCCATGGCTGGTATTGGACCTGCTCCCATACATCCAGTTGATCCATGAACCCCGGGTTGGGCCGGATCTTCCGCTTTTCTTTCACATCCGCTAGCACAGCATCACGGCTTTTCCCATATTTCCGCATCAGATAGGCAGTGACCATGGTAGGAGAGCGAGATATTCCTCGCTCACAATGCACAAGTATGACATTGGTGTCAGGGGCCGCTTGGGTGTCTTCATGCCCTCCTGTTCTTTCGAACTTGCGGTGTACTAGCTGAAGGTTTACATCGGTGCTGTGGAACCCATTTGCAGCAAAAGCCGGTAGCCAGTTGGAAGCAAAATAGCCTTTATATTCATTGCACACGGGGCTTGCTGTTGAATTTCTGGGAGTAGCGTACACTTCATCGAGGAAATCACAGAAGATATTCATGTGTTTGATGAGATCCTGGGTCTCTGTGTCGTCACACCGTATCCAGAGATGATGCTTGACATGTCGTTTGAACTTTTGTTGCTGCCACAGTGAGCATCCGTTTCCAACTAGAGAGACCACAGCGGATATATGATTGTCTCGTAGCACAGGTTCCTGGTACGTATTGAGGACATCTGCGATATATAGAGCATGATCAACCTCCGAAGGTGGACGGACATCGTATTGTACCATACTTGGGTGTAGCAATGCAGTGTTCAATCTATAGCAGTAGATCTATGGACGATTGAGCAGGTGTTGCAGACCGAAGAACTAACTAAGCAGCAACTACAAAGTTTGTCCTAGCCGGAGATTTGGTGAACCCGACGGCCAATGATGCCGAAACGCAACCTTGGAACAGGCTACCACCATAAGTTTAAGAATATTATTGAAGTTACTTCTGGCTTATTACCAGGGCTAACTAATATGGCCTCACGGAAGGCCACATTTACTGATTCTACCATCCTTAGCATACGTGAGATCCACTACGCTCAGCTTTTGGCTGCAAACATTGCTAGAAGAGTTCCAGGTCTCGGGCTGGTTCTCCCTTCCGTTTCTAATCCACATTACTAATTTACATAGTAGGTAGGTGCACTTCCTACCTAATTGTTTACTTACAGCTGTGGCCCCTCGAAAGGAAGGAGTCAACAGTAAAACGGTATAACCATGGGTGGGAAGGTGGGAAGGTGCAGCCGAGATCATATTAGTAACTTCTGCTATAGGAAATTTTCTAGAGTAAACAAACAAATAAACAAATAAATAGACATTCCATCACAGATCTGGAAGGAGGATCCCACAGTCTTTAACGAAAGGGGAGGAGTATCTTGAGTTCAAGGACGCTTGCTGCCCCATAGCAATTCCTAGATAAAAACCATCTTATCATCTTCCCACGTAGGCCTCAACAAGTGAATGAGAATATGTTCCTGAGGTAGGATAATGGCATGAAAATACATCATGGGTATGGCGGTTTAAGGCCCAAGATCCGGATATATAGATATTCTTCAAATGAAAGAAAAATCCTTATGCAGCTTAATGAGGTTTGCTGGTGGTAATAGGTGGACGAGCATTGTACGGTCAACCTATAAGGATTCAAGCACCACAGGGGGATAACCGTAGGGTAATGAGGCACGCTTCATGGTAGCAGCTCTTTCCATGCTTTCCACGGAGATTTCTCAAGTGAGAAGAGCGAATTATCACGGCGTTGCTTGAAACGACGTCTATATGGACCACATTCTCCGAGCTGTGGTTTCAGGGTGATTATCTGGCGGTTTAATATAACAACTAAAGGCTCCCTAAATTTTTACCTGCTCTGGGAATCTGGAGGCCGTATTACCAACATGGTTTGTATTTAGCTCATTCGCCCTCGGCCACATGGTTTATCATGATCGAGAGGAAGCCCTTTTTGTATGGCCCTAACTACAGGCTGATCATGTCCACTCATGAGTAAACCCATTGTATGACGAAGCCTCGGGTTCCTTGTCTTTAGGGCGCTGGCTTCCACAATCCTGGAATTTTATCCCATAACCAGGAGAAAGAATCTGCTGTCAGTAGAACCGTATTAGGGGTATCTAGCTAGGGCTTGTTCGAGGGTATTTAGTACAGAGGTAGTGGGAATCCATCTCCTAGCAGCCTCATCAAGACACAAGAGTATCAGCCTGAAGGTCGAGTTAAACTCTATTCCAATTACATAATCGCAATCACATGAATCACATGACCATGTTGCCATTGTCACCTGACCATAACTTCCTGTTTAGGTTAGTCTAGGACAGCCAAATTTCTTCCTTCTCCTTGAAACTCGCAAGAGAGAAAAACCCTTCTCACCAGCGCCCAACAACTCCTGTCTTCATCACCTTTCTCTCTTTCTTTGAACACTTTTCATCACCTAATTTTAGCAGACAGGCTGTCTTATCACTTGTATCTGGCCTGCTTGGATCTTTCCTGTCTCCTTTCTTGAAACTGATAGTGGAACAACCGGCCGTAGGCCCTTTTTTCTCTGAGCCTGCTGCTTGTGGCCGGGACTGTAGTGACAAGATCACCCGTCAAGCATCAAATAGAGACCTTATCTACTGGATCACGGATAGCTTTCCTACTCTCAGTAGATACAAGATACAACATAGTGTGGAATCTTCCGGTCCCAAAGAACCTGCAGATACCAGCCCAAAACCAGCCATATTTGCAAGTACTAGCTTTCACATCCTATTCACATAAAATCGGTAGCAGCCTCTATCAGCCATGTCTTCTGCAGTAGCAGAGCTGGATGGCTATCTCCATTCTATGCTTTCCTTGAAGCCCCCTGGTGTGTCTGGATCCAAAATTAACGGCATCACTTCATTGTGTACTGCCAATGTTCAGGTTAGTCATACGCAATACTCTCCTGACACTCTCACTTCTTGCAAGCTCTTTATGACTAGAAGGACCCTAACTAACTTCTTTCTTCTCTTCTCTATAGTCCGAATCGGTGTTGATACAAAAGATCTATACCCATTTTAAGCGAGCACCAGGGACACACAAGTTGGGCGTACTCTATGTCGTAGACTCTGTAACTCGACAATGGGTAGAATTAGCACGCAAGGCTGGCCAGCAGATTGGCGGCAGTGCTCCGGATGGAACGTATGCTGCAGGCGTTAACCGAGTGACCGAGCTTCTCCCAGTCCTCATGACTGATATCATAAACAATGCTCCTGAAGACCAAAAGGTACGCGTACTCTTAGACATGAATCAGACTCAATATCTCCTGCAAGGTGGAAAGCGAAATCTCCTCTGCAGTGCAGAATATGATAGACCTAGGCATCTGCCAGCATGGCGTTGCCTTAAGACGCCTAAATCACCGTATCACGAAACTCCTTTTTTCCCCTTATACTTATGACTTTATATCCGCTGCCCTTCTTGAACAATAGGTCATATATCATGCTGTGGCTGAATAATTCCCACTTACGTATATCCGTTTTTTTTTAATTTAGGACAAAATCAAAAAGTTGGTGGACATCTGGGAGCGAGGATACACATTTCCAGCCCCCATGCTCCAATCGTTCAAAGACAAGCTAAATGCTCCAGTATCTCAAAGTAAGAAAATGCCCCCTTGGAAAAAACGCCCTCTTGAGTTCATCCCCATTGCTTTTAGACAAGTGGTTTTCAATACAGCCATGGGAATCTATACTTGGGGGGGGGAACTCGAATGGCTGTAAGTTATAATAATGGACGAACATTTTTTTCTAATGTACACGCAACTTTCTTAGACGTTGAATCTACAACACCAGAAGGGTCACCGGCTCCAAACTCCTTTGCATTCGGTGGATCAGGTCAACAGCCGGCTCCTGCGGCTCCTGCTGGAGGTGCTGCTGTTCCTGATACATCAAGCATTTTGAAAGCACTTGCTGAAATGGCAAAGCAAAACACAGCCGCCCCAGTCGCTCCCGCCGTCCCAGCAACACAGACTAGCACAAGTAATGTATTAAACGCACAGGCTGCAGTCCCGCAAACAAATGCACCGCCTGTAGACCAGACTGCGCTTCAATCTAACGGGCAGTCCGTAAACCCCTTTGCTGGAAATCTTGCCGCCCAATTCCCAGGTCTGGCCAATACCGCCCAAAACATGTTCCAAAACCAACCCCAAGGTCAGGCTGCAGGTGCAGGCGCAGGCGCAGGTGCTTATCCTGGTCAGAATCCGCTTGCACAATTGATACAGCAGCAGCAACCTCAGCAGCAACAGCCAGCCGCCCCAACTCCTGTTACTCCAGACCCCCTTCAGCAATTAAATCTGATCCAGCTTCTTGCTGCACAGGGTATTCCACAGGAACAGTGGGCTACAGCTCTTCAAATTTTAAATCTTTCCAACGCAGCCAACGCAGGTGGAATGGGTAATATGAATCCTGCTGCACTGGCAGCCTTTGGCCAGATGCCCGCAGCGAATCAGAATGCTTGGGGAGCAAATGCGCAGCAGCCCGAGAACTCATCACGTGACAGAGACCGGGACACCCGCTCTCCACCAGGCCAGTACCGTCGCCGTTCACGGTCTCCTGGATGGGATAGACGGCGTGATGTTTCTCCTCCTCGTCGGCGCGATAGCCCTGTGTATGGTGAATACCATGGTGACTCTCCTGGCCGTAGCCGCGGTGAGCACGGTAGAGGAGGCCGGCGAGGGAACGAGTACCGCCAGCGCAGTCCACCCGGTAGACGCCGTCGAAGCCCTAGTCCTCGCAAGGAGAGCAACCTCCCTCCTCCGGGACCGAAGTTCATTGACTATGACTATTCCATTGGAGACGGAAACATTAAAGGTTCGTTTATAGATCTCTTTATTAGGTCTATGCGTCTATATGAAACAAGGAGCTAACGTGTATATTATATAGTTCTGAGCCGGACATTATTCGTTGGTGGTGTAACGTAAGTACCAGTACATCCTGCTTGTTTATGCCTATGATTTAATTAACACATGGGGGGGTTAGCTCAACTGAATCTCATCTCCGATCGCTCTTCTCCCGCTACGGCACAGTTCAGACATGCATTGTCAACAATGACAAACGACATGCGTTCGTCAAGATGGTCAACCGGCGCGATGCCATGAATGCCCGCGAAGGAATGGAGCAGTACAAATCCGGAGACATGCAGCTTAGAGTAAGTCATACATCCGTTTGCCCGCATATAAATAGCCTGGTAGCCTAACCTTGAGTTATTCTAGACACGCTGGGGAGTTGGATTTGGTCCCCGAGACTGCAGCGATTATCATACTGGAGTCAGCATAATACCCGTTGACCGGCTGACTGAAGCCGACCGCAAATGGCTCCTTACTGCAGAGTACGGTGGGACTGGCGGCAAGCCCATCGAGAATGGAATGGTTGTTGAAGAGCCCGATATCGAGATTGGAGCCGGTGTATCTTCCAAGGGTACGTACAAAAACCTAAAAGGCCTGGAACTTTCTACCTTGTGTTTTGCATGTAGACTAACTGAAACAACCAAAACAGCCATCAGCCGACGCATGGCAACCGACCAGGGAGGCAAGCGTGGCCCTCAGTCGAGCCGATATAGCCATGAGCGCTTCCGCCGCAACGAACGCAGCGGCGGCGGTGGTGGCGGCGGAGGAGGAGGAAGTGGTGGTGACGACAGCCACAATAGCGGTAGTGGCAGTGGTAGCGGTGACCATGACCGCGACCGAGACCGTGACTCTGCCTCTGGGCCCAATGCCAATGCTATAGGAGTTCCTCCAGCCGTTCCAGGGTTCGGCTTCTCGTTCCCTGGTATGCCAATGTTCCCGCCTGGGTTCATACTTCCAGGCACGCAGACGTCGACCACCGGAGCCCCATCACAGCCTAATGCACAGGGCCAGTGAATCATAGGAACAGAACGTTGAAACGGCCTCCCCCTCCGTCTCCCATGCATGACATCAGTATACGGTATACCTCCACGGCGTTTTTAAAAGAGTCATCAACCCTTCGGTCAAGGAAATGCTTTCTCCCCCCCCCAAAAAAAATAATCCGAGCTAGTTCGCGGTGTGCCAGTCGCGAATGAACCAGAACAACCCTCCCTCTGCAACAAAATAAATACCCTTTTTTTCCCTCGACTTGCTATTCTACTTACTTAACCCAGGCCGGCGTTTGAGCTTACTTTTGCATCCCTTTTCTTCTTGCTTTGTGTAATTGATTGATCTGTTCTTTCCCTATCTTCTTGTCCCCTATCTTCTTGTTCCCTTTTCTGGCGTGTCAGTGGCTTTCTCCCTTCTTCTTCTTCTTCTTTCGCCTTTCCTCCTTTTCAAGTCTTGTACAGTATTTAACCTTTTTGCTTCTCTCAATCACCTTACTTACTTGGGGCACATATGTAATGGCAAATCCAATGCAATTGCTATCTAATTCTTCATCCGTCCCGTCCAGCCGTAAAAAGAGAACAAGCTTAGCTAAGCTTCATCACGTGTAGATCACCTCGTCTTAACTTGCAGCTTCTCGCAGTTCTTTTTTTTTTTTTGCTTCTGCGTAGTTACGGACACCGCATAAGTAGTTAGGTCGGGTATAAAAATAACACCTGAAGTAAGTATGGAGCAAGCTGCAGCGTCATAGTATCGTCGTACCGAGGGAGGTGAGCAGCAGCAGCTATCCGTCTCCGCGAACGTCATGGGAACAAAAAAGTGGGAACATCGCCACGCTTCACGAAGTGCTTGTTCATTGCTTATCTGTAGCACGAAGGCCACCCATCGTCCAACCCCCCATCACCGAGCGCATGCTTGGTTCATTTCTTTTTCGTTACCCTTTTTTGCTTCTTCATCCTCCTCTCTCAATGCGAGGGAGTCCACGGAGTACTGAGGTTGAAGTCGAAGCCGAAGCCGAAGACGAAGACGAAGAAGAAGCAAAAGGGCTCGGGTAGCTTGTTTTGTTTATATTCATATGTTATTGTTTTGCTGATCTCGGACGTAACTAACAAACTTAGGTAGTTAGCTTACTAGAGCCCAGCATGCATACCCATCCACAAGCTAGGTACGGGTACACTTATGATATAATCAATGGATATATAAATGGGGGCGAGGGGAGGGAGAGAGCGAGAGATAACACTACTTGACTCGCCGGAGCAACTCCTACCAAGCCCCAGACCCAAGAGTTATCACCACCCAGAAGAACCACCAGAACCGACGCCCGCCGCCAAACCACGCATCTGCTCGTCCCCTTTGCTGACCCCTGGCAAAGCAATATGCAGCCCAGCGTAAGTGGACCAATGGCAGCACGAGAAAAGGCAATGGTCGCAGTTTCAAAATTCATTTCCTAACTACCCATGGGACTCCACCGACCAACCCACGTCGACATCTGCAGCATGACGAGGGAGCGAACAAACAGCTTGGGGCAAGCTTCCTCCTCCTCCTCCCCCCTTCATCGTCGACTTATTCGTTTTTCCTTGCTGCTCGCCCTTCCTTTCCCTCGTCCCTCCCGCCGCCGCCTAGTCGCCAATGCTTGCGCCGAGCACGATCTGCGAAATATTTACTTGGGATAAAAAGGGAGGAGGAGGGAGGCATTGGCAGGTCAATTGGGCGGATAAAGGGGTCAAAATGGCTGGAGGGCGCCTTGGTCCAGCTTTGAGCGGCTGTGCTTGCTTGGTGGTGGTGGTGGTGGTAGTGGTGCTGGGCAAGCGAGGTGTCATCATGACTTGCTTTGTGGGAGCTTGGGGGAAGCTATCCTTCATCCTCTTTCGCCCCCCCTGTCCTTTTGTCCTGCTCTTCCTTGACTACCGCGAGCTAGTCCCGTCCTGCAGGTTACATACTTACAGCGGCTTTATTACTTACATACGGGCCATACGTACCATACGGGGTGTGTATGGTACGGAGTATTTGATACGGGTACATAAGTACAGTACACTAACTAACTAACTCTTTGGAGGAGCTCAAGCTCGAGCGAGGCGAGGAAGAGAGATGAGGTAATAATTAAATCGTCATTAAAGTGCAGCGGGAGAGCGATACGAGGCATTGTTACTCCGTACATTACAGAGCAACTGGCGGACATGCCCTGTATAGATTACTTTACAGCGTTATTGCTCTCGTCATTATTATTCATGGGGATTACGCCCCAAGATACGCCTGGGGGTCCTCTCCATCGTATATGTAAGTATGTATACTTCTGTCGGAAATGGCGCCTGTTCTCCCCAGAGAGGACCTAAGGGATTTTAAAAAGAGAAAAAAAGAAAAGAAAAGACAGCTGCAAGGAGCGTCAAGGGTAGGCCAGACGAAGCGGAGGAAGCTCTCTGCTCTGATTGACCGGCACGGCCTTTACCCCCAAGGCATACCAGACTCGCTAGCTGCTTCGATTGATGATTTGCATGCATCACCGATGACACCTGGGCATGGACCACCACCCTCCCGAGAAATATTAATAGGCAGGCCCCGTTACGATGGCAACGGGAGAGGGATAAACAGCGAGACTGCCTAGCTCTTTTTGAGACGGTGGATAGCAATATAGAAGAACATCTTATATGGCCGTGATGAGGTCACCGTCTCACAATGGCTGCTAGTTACTGCAACAGTTACAGCAGCAGAGGAGTTGCAGCACAGCACAGCACAGCACTAGCTAGCAAGCACGCGAAATGAAGAGGCCCGTCTCCATACACTATTAGTTACATACATACACGGCAGCGGCAGCAGTAGCAGCAGGAGAAGAAGACGCCTGCATAATAATGCGTGAATAAAACGACACAAGACCGCAGGCAAGCTTTTCTAGAAGACGCGAAGAAGGCGGGAAAAGCGAGACAACACAGAGCCAGCAAGAGAAGAGCGAGAGAGAGAGAGAAGAAGCGACGCCTTGGGAGGTGGATGAAAACTTTGATTCATCTTGCGACCTTTGCGGCATTTTCGTGATTCGTGTGAATTTTTATTTTTTTATTTTTTATTTTATTTTTTTTTGCGCTGGCTTGCTTGTTTCCAAGTCCCGCGGAAATCCTTCCTGACCCGCCCCCGTCCGTCCCAGCTTTGAAGCAGCAGAAAACGAAGGCAAGACGAAGACGAAGAAGAAGAAGATGCTCGCTCGCTTCACTCTCTCCAAGGGGAACACCGGACGACCCATTCAACCGTCACCTAACCAGACCCCGACGCCGTTAGCGTAGGGCTTGGTCCAATATAATACTCCAAGAATAATGCTACACTACGGAGCACTGCCTACAAGTATGGGGAGAGATTGAGGAGAACGAGTCTTGTCTTGCTCGTCTACCCGGCTTGGCGATTCTACTGTCTTCTAAAGCATTGATGTGCATAATCGCTATCTTGCTTGTTTGTTCTTGTTGTCGTTGTTGACGACCTCAAGCCGTATCTCCCCGAGATGGCGGGCCGGCCGGCAGACGCAATTGATAGCCATATAACTACGGTGACGAGTTGGATGGCAATTGCGGGATATACGCCGTGTCAGAGTGCACAGGCTAGAAGGAGAAAAAAAGAGACTTCTGCTCGACATCCGCGCCAGCCGGAGCCAGAGCCGGAGACCGTTGGATTGGGAGCAAAAAAAGGGCGGAAAGGAAGCGTAAAAAAGTTAAGATGTGAGATGACGCTTTGAACCTCGACTGGGGTGCAGGAAGGAAGATAGATATGGAGGGAGAAAAAGAAGAAACGAGGTGCCAGAGCCAGAGCCAGAGCCAGAGAAGAGAGAGTCCGGTGACACTTTTCTCGCACGCATGGACGGGCCCGTACCGACCGATATAACCATGCCTGTCCATAACTATTATTATTATTTACTTACACACTGAGTTGTTGAACATGTCAGCGTGGCCGCCCGGCATATAACTAGACGCTAGCATGGCATGGGCATGGCTGGGGGGACATGGGGCATGGGACATGGCTTGCAAACCCGTCCATGCCCACGTCCACGTCCGCCGTCCGCCGTCCATCTCATGCCCGACGCACAGGCAAAACGGTAATCTATGTATAACAAACAAAAGCAAGGAAGAGAGGAAAGCAAAGAGATTTGACAAGGCAAAAAAGAAAAGATGAGAGATGAAAAAAAAAAAAGGAACGACGCCCCCCAACGCCCCAAATCTAGGGGACTGGAAGAAGATGGCCAAGTGCCGCTGTTTCCATCCCTCGTCGATTAAGTTGAGCAGGCGGTCGTGTGAGCTAGGTGTGTCATCCTGCCAACCGGTTCTGCACAGACAGAGGAAGAAGAGAAGAGAAGAAGAAGTAAAAAAAAAAAAAAGGCCCGGCAACGAGTCCCCGAGTGGCTCTCGCATTCCATTCCATTCCATCCATCTACACCGCATCGATGGAGGAGTTTTCTCGGTTTTGCCTCTTTGTACAGGAGGTACCTGCTGGATAGTTAACCTAACGAGGTACTCCACGTTTACCCGCTGAGGGTGGCATGGCATGGCATAGCATGGCATTATTAAGTAACTACTTCTACCAATGGCCCAGGTTTGAGTGAGTATTAACAGCGTCTATAGATAGACCTTGAGAAAGTAAGGAAAATAGCTGACTGTTTGACGGCAGAAGCAAGATGCAAGCCAGCCATTGACCAACGAGCGCAGCTGCATTAGAGGCCGTCATCGACAATCACCTGATGGATGGAAGTTGAAGCACCCTAAAGTAAAGTAACCTGGCCTGCAGCTAACATTATTACTCCGGCATAACCTTTCAAAAGCAACGATCAGCCACCGACTAAAGCTAGCTCGTTAACAGGAGCAGTCAAAGTGTCTGTCTGTCTGTCTCTCTGGTAAGGCTTCAGGCTTCAGGCTTCCCGTCATAAACTCCCGTCGTCGCGTTACATCCGCGTCCTTTTTTTTTTAAGTACGAGCCAGCCTAACCTTCTTTTCTGCTAGTCAACCAACTCCGATCATGCAGAATCAGTCTTTCGGGACAGCCTGACCTTAACACTGATACTACTACTACGGAGTCCTACGACTGACTGGCCTTCTCTCTATCTTAACCTTAAGCAAGGCCCCTTCTTCTCCGTCTCCGTGGGGTGGAGGATTATTTCCCCTTCTGGCCCTGCTTGCTTTTTCACCACCTTTAGCTCCGAAGTTGAGGACTTTTTTCTTTTACTCTTAGAGGTTAAGAGGAAGTCGAGGCGTCAAGTCGAGCGAGTTTGCCGAACTTGCCGAAGGGAGTTTTTCTTTTTGGTTTTGAACGGCCAGTCCCAAGGAGAAAAAGTTAGCATCCTTAGTCAGCGGGGCCTCTTTCTAGGTACTTAGGTAGGTACCGTACCTGGTTAGTGTTGGTTATTATGCGGTCAGTTTGAGACTTCCGACGAGGTATAAAAAAGTGAGGAAAAGAAAGGTGAGCAAGCAAAAGAGGTGAGTCTGATTCGGTCGGCAGGCAGGGTCGGAGGGGGGCAGATAAGCAAGAACAAGCAATTGATCTCGTCGGGAAGAAAAAGAAGAGAGAGAAGAAAGAGAAAGAAAAAGAAGAAAAGATGGACGCTGTAACGGCCGAGTTATTTACCTCGTTATGGTTGATACTTGTATGGAGTATGCAGTACATACATACGTAGAGATAACGATAGAGGCAGAGAGAAGGCATACAAACAAAAGAGAAACAAAAGAAGAGACAAATAAGAAAGAAAAAGACAGGAGAGCCCTGCCTCAGCCTGCGTGTCCGTCCATGGCTGACTCGCCAAGGGTCTCTGGTCTCCCAGGTGCTACTATCAGCGCTCTACCATCGCACATCACCTCTTGGGGTTCTTCAGACAAGCCAGCATGCCAAACCAACGCCCAGAGACGCTGCCTCTGCTTCCTTCAGATCTCCTTCCCTTCCCCCCTTGGCATCGTGACGAGTTCGTCTTGGATCTACGACATGGATGCGAATTGAGGGAGCGCAAAGGGAGCTCGCCAAGTGTTTCGACCCTTCACTACATAGTATAGTAAACGACTTGAACATCGTACACACTTCTTAACAATCACGTAGTTAACTAAACCACGGCACGGCGGAGAGGGAGGAAACCAACACCCTTGTTCCCTTGGTTTTTTTTTTTTTTTCCTTGGGTGCTGGCTGCCCTTGTCCTGCCTGCCAACCCCATGGGGGATACGGGACTTGACTGACGACTGACTCCTCTCTTGTCCGTCCTGCCTGCTCGCTTGGTTCGTCGTCGTCGTTACGTTTTTTTTTTTTTTTTTTTTTTGGTTTTTCGCCTTCAAAGGCTCGTCAAAACCGCTTGTCCTTGGCCTCCCTGGTCCCCTTCACGTGACCACGGAAACTCCGTCAAGCTTTAGAGGCGAGCGAGCGTCAGAAAATTTCTGACTTGATATGAAGAAGAAGAAGAAGGTGGTTTAACTAACTAACTAGCGAGACGGGTAAGGGAGGCCATGTGGAGAGAGACAGGAGGGGAGGAGGGTTGAGAAAGAAAATTTTCGTTCGTGGGCTCTCTCCACTGCGACCAGCGGCCAGCGTTACAAAGATTGATGGTGATAGGTGATAGGCAGCGGGAGGGGGAGATAAAGATAAGTAAGGAGAGGGAGAGGGAAAAGGAAGGGAGATGGATGGAGGCGTATGGAGGAGGGAGAGGGAGTGTTATTGGCTCGGGAGGCAGGCCGGTCGGTCAGTCGGAGTCGGTTCAGGCCCGTTCTAAGGCCGAGGAGTGGTAGAGGCAGTCTGAGGATGTACTCCTGGAGTAGACGGCGACGCAGACGAGGTAGTCTTGTGTAGAAGTGACGTAGTAGATGGAGGAAGAGGATGATGAGCAAAGATCGAGCTGATATCGGCCGTGAGAGCCGTCCGTCGAGCGAGGAGAAGACTTCCGCCCAAGGCTTCCTCTGGCTGTTCCCTAACTGGCTTCTGCTGCTCTGCCCTGCCGCCGTCCTAGCCGACTCTTCCACTTACTCTTCTTCACTCTACTCTTACTTACTACTATCACTACTGCTATCACTCTACTATTGCTGCTGCTGCTTTACTGTCTGCGCTCTTCTCTCGTCTGTGTATCATGATGGTAAATACCAAAAGTGACAAGACGTGACAAGACGTGACAACACCAGCATCGCCGAAAGAGGAAAGGCCTCCAAAAGAAGTGGGCCTTTTTTCCTTTTTTTTTCTTTTCTTTTCTTCTTCTTTTTATTTTTTCAGCGCTAGTCCCGATCGAGTTTTACCGCGGATACGCCTTGGAGCTCCCTTGGGTCGCCTGTATCCTTACGCCTCCTTACCAAAGTTACTCACCTTTCGAGTGTCGTCTTATGTGGGCGTCTTACCATACCTTACCGGGGCAGCAGGCGGTCGCACCCACTTTTCATTTCTCCTGCTGGCGCTGCTCGGCTTCTCTTCTTATATCTTGCTCGCCCTCGCTCTTTTTCCTGCCTCTCTCTTCTTCCCTCCTCCTCCTTCTCTTCTTCTTCTTCTTCTTAACCCGCCATCCTCTCTTCTCCCCCTTGCGTCTCCCCTTCTTCTCTCTCTTCTCGCCCTCTCCTCCCTTTCTTCTTCCTCTCTGCAATTCCAGCCAGTCACTGCGACTGCGACTGCGTCTTGTTCGATGAGCACGTAGGATCGCCGACCAGCTCCCAGCTTACGACCAGCTAACGACCGAACCTCACGACCACCCCACGAAGAAAAAAAACCCACTTTCAATTCAAATAAGAAAGAAAGAAAACAAGTCATTCGCAATGGCCGACCACGCAGCCCAGGGGCAGGGCCAGCCTGTCCCGCCAAACCATCTCGGCACTGCTGTTCCCAGCGGCCAGTTCGGCGGCGAGCACAAGGATGAGGTCCAGCAGCACCAGCAGCAGCAGACCTCGGCCGCGTTCGACGAGAAGAAGGGCGCCATGCCCGAGGACGACGAGGAGGACGAGGACATGGATCAGCTCATTGCCGACCTCGAGTCTCAGGACGGCCACATCGACGAGATCGACGAGGAGGACGATGACCAGCCCGGTGGCGAGCGTCCCGTGCCGGACGAGCTGCTGCAGACCGACACCCGCACCGGTCTGACTGATGCCGAGGTCACCACCCGCCGCAAGAAGTACGGTCTCAACCAGATGAAGGAGGAGAAGGAGAACCTCATCCTCAAGTTCTTCTCCTACTTTGTCGGACCCATCCAGTTCGTCATGGAGGTAAGATTTCTTTTCATAGGACTTCAATTGATTGATTGATTGATTGGTACTAACCAAAATGTATAGGCCGCCGCTATTCTTGCTGCCGGTTTGAGAGATTGGGTTGACTTTGGTGTCATTTGCGCCCTTCTCTTGCTCAACGCCTGTGTTGGTTTCATCCAGGAGTTCCAGGCCGGTTCCATTGTCGACGAATTGAAAAAGACCCTCGCCCTCAAGGCTGTCGTTCTCCGTAACGGCCGTCTTGTTGAAGTCGAAGCTCCCGAAGTCGTTCCCGGTGATATCCTCCAGGTCGAAGAAGTGAGTACTCCATATCTTTGCTCTGACAGCAGAGACTACTTGTTACTGTAGAAGATAAATGCTAACAGGTTAGGGAACTATCATTCCTGCTGATGGCCGTGTTGTGACCGAAGACGCTTTCCTCCAGGTCGACCAGTCTGCCATTACCGGAGAGTCTCTCGCTGTCGACAAGCACAAGGGAGACCACTGCTACGCTTCCTCCTCCATCAAGCGTGGTGAGGCCTTCATGGTCGTCACCTCCACCGGTGACAACACCTTCGTTGGTCGTGCCGCCGCCCTCGTCAACGCTGCCTCCGCCGGAAGCGGTCACTTCACCGAGGTCCTCAACGGAATTGGAACTGTCCTGCTCATTCTCGTCATCTTCACCCTGCTCGTTGCCTGGGTTGCCTCTTTCTACCGCTCCAACGGCATCGTCACCATCCTCGAGTTCACCCTGGCCATCACCATCATCGGTGTCCCCGTCGGTCTGCCCGCTGTCGTCACCACCACCATGGCTGTCGGCGCTGCTTACCTCGCCAAGAAGAAGGCTATCGTCCAGAAGCTCTCTGCCATCGAGTCCCTCGCTGGTGTCGAGATTCTCTGCTCTGACAAGACCGGAACCCTGACCAAGAACAAGCTCTCTCTCGCTGAGCCCTACTGCGTCTCTGGTGTCGACCCCGAGGACCTCATGCTCACTGCCTGTCTCGCTGCCTCCCGCAAGAAGAAGGGTATCGATGCCATTGACAAGGCCTTCCTCAAGTCTCTCCGCTACTACCCCCGTGCCAAGTCCGTCCTCACCCAGTACAAGGTCCTCCAGTTCCACCCCTTCGACCCCGTCTCCAAGAAGGTCTCTGCCGTCGTCGAGAGCCCCCAGGGTGAGCGCATCATCTGTGTCAAGGGTGCTCCTCTCTTCGTTCTCAAGACCGTCGAGGAAGACCACCCCATCCCAGAGGACATTGACGCCGCCTACAAGAACAAGGTCGCCGAATTCGCTACCCGTGGTTTCCGTTCTCTCGGTGTTGCTCGCAAGCGTGGTGAGGGCTCTTGGGAGATCCTCGGAATCATGCCTTGCTCCGATCCTCCACGCCACGATACCGCAAAGACCGTCAACGAAGCCAAGACCCTCGGTCTCTCCATCAAGATGTTGACTGGTGACGCCGTCGGTATTGCCCGTGAAACCTCCCGCCAGCTCGGTCTCGGAACCAACATCTACAACGCTGAACGTCTCGGTCTCGGTGGTGGCGGTACCATGCCCGGATCTGACATCTACGATTTCGTCGAGGCTGCCGATGGTTTCGCCGAGGTCTTCCCCCAGCACAAGTACAACGTCGTCGAGATCCTGCAGCAGCGTGGCTACCTCGTTGCCATGACTGGTGACGGTGTTAACGACGCTCCATCTCTCAAGAAGGCCGA